TCAAGATGTGGTTCAATGACCAATCACATTGTGGCACCATTACAGGAAGACTTCTCATCAGCTCTATAAGCCTTAGATTGGCTTCCAAAAGACTTAAAGAGAAAAGAGTAGAAGCGAGAGGAATCTCTAGAGCACAGGGCTTGAGCAGTTAAGATCAATGTATGTCTTTCTTCTTCCAATACATGGATTTAGTCTAGAATAAAAAGGAATTATATTTTATTTTCCTTTTACTATGCTTCAAAGAGTCATCAAACAGTTACCTCTGCCACTGCATGGTTTAAAAAGAATAAAGCAAAACAACTTTGAGTTGCGTTGATCAGAAATATTTTGACTGATTTAACTATTGTAAATATGGTTTATTAAGGTTTAGCAAAAGCTGGTCTGAGATCCGTGTTTCTTTCAGCCCTTGTCTCTGAGCGAGCTGATTTGGCTTTCCATGCCTCCTTCCTCTAGAAGGCCACGCCCTCAACCATGACTACCAGTCAGAGTTCATAAAGATTGCCAAGGAGCATTGAATCATACATTAGATGAAGTCAGAAGCTTGACTGATGGGATGCTACAAACCACTCTGGAAAGCTTAATTCCCCTTATGACATCATACGGGGAATGCGTTTCAAACAAACCATTTTGAGCGCACATTAGCTAAGAGGTAGAGAAAAACAATGATAGTTTTTTTTTTTTTTTTTTTTCATTTGTGAACCTCATATAAAGGCTTTGGACACATAGGAGTAACAAAATCTTTCACAAATTTATTTTTTAAAACATGGGAACTTTAATGCTGATTCAGTTTTTTACTTAGCCTTTACATTTCAGGCCAACCAAAGAAGTATACACTTGTGAGGTGAAGTAGAAATGACATGTTTTCACTATCCAGCTCCTTCCTAACTGCCAGCACTAATCAGATAGCACTTATTATGGCAACCGGGGACACAATCTGCACTGGTTTCTTTTCTTTTAGCAAATCTGGGGTTTCATTCATCACACACAGCATACATTATCAGGGCTCGATGTTAACCATCGCCTGATCGCCCGGCGCAAGTAGTTTTTATTGTCGGGAGAGTTGTGTGCAAATTGCCCGGCGGGCAAATGCAAAGATCGCAAAAAAAAAAAAAAAAAATGTATCACTCAAAATTACTTTAAAATCACAGACTTTCGATGAAAACGACCCACTAGCCGCAGGATTTTCCGCTAGATATCGTGATTCAGCTCTTGGGGAGAGAATTCTGCAGAGCAGCAGCTGGATGATGAATTTAATCTATACTATAATACACGCTCGATTAAAAATTATCAGTCAGGGTTTAGGAAAACAATAATTTAATGCGCACAGTGAAAATATTTCTATCATATGGCAGTCTTCTGTACAGTGGTCATACATTAAAAAATGTTCATTAAAATTTTTTTCTATTAGACATTGGAGTGGTGCATTTAAATGTTATAGAGCTAAATATGTTAAATTTTGAGTAGTAATAGTGTAAGTTTTTAACTCTCAATTTTTTTTTTGATTTTTAACATTACAATTTATATTTTTCCAAGCACACAACAGTTTAAAGCAAAGTTTAGTTTGAAAAGAATGTGCAGAAAGGATTGAAAAGCATGTTAACACGGTAATGTAGGCTTGAGTTCATTATCTAGCACATGCATATACACACCAGGAACCTGTAAACTTAAAAAATACTGAATTACAAAAAACATTTAAAAAACGAACATGTTTCATTGATATATATACAAAAATGAATATTAGGAACTATATTTATCAAACATTATACTGGGCAAGCAAACATTTTTTCGGGGCAAATGAAATGTGAAAGCCACTTGCCCGAAGGGTAAAAATCCTTAACATCAACCCCTGATTATCATTCAACATCTTAAAAAATCACTGACTTATAAAACAAGGCGGTTTTATAGAAAGTCATAACCTCAGTGGCTATAAGGGTATCTGAAATAATTCACACATTGTCAGGAATTTATTAACCTCTTGTAAATTTTAATAACAGTCCATAGGTCACATGTGTTAGGTTAGTCCAACCTGGACAGGTGAAGGCTATCAAAGAAATCTTTCTTCAGCTCTTTCTGGAAACTTCCACATGTTCTCTTGGAAAAAAAACAGAACCCTTAATCTGTCTTCATAGCAGCAGGGGAACCATAAAATGAAACAGAGCAATGGTTTCTTGGCTCACCTACTCACTTGGAAAAAAAAAAGATTCCGATAGCGATGTATCTTTCCTGTAGGCTGTTCATTTTTACCTCATTTTCTTTTTTGTGACAAAAAAAAACATGTTTCAACTCATTAATTTCAATCCTAAAACATCATATTACCTTTTAATAAAGTTGAAACTCAATTTGCTATAGAATTTCTAACCAAGCTTTACTGGGTCTTGATTTGAACTCTTCAGAATGATTTTTGTTAAAAGCTGGAATTTAATCATTTTGCCAAACTCTACTGAATCACTGAGATGAAAATGTTCCAGACCAAATCTCCGCTCAGTTTCCCGCAGTCACACAGCATGGCACATTAGTATTCAGACAACATCAGATCTCTGGGCCAAACACTCAGTGGACAAACCCTGACAAGCAGACATACATTAATAGCTATTCATGAGTGAGAATCAGGAGACATGCTTGAATTACCACAGCGCAGGACTCTCGGGAAGAAAATATTCACCACACAATTGGTTAAAAACATTTTTATCATCAGAAAATAACTCAGTGTTTTTCTCATTATATGCAACACATTCTGCTCAGCAGTAGATTACTGGAGCAAGCATATAATGCACTGTGGGTACTGGAGCAAGACAAAGCTAATTATTAAGAGGCAAGCAATAACACTGACACATCACTAAAGCAATAGTTACAAAGCGCTATCAGCTAGACTTTTAAACTATTTCCATCCTATGTGTTTACTGTTTGGAGAGGTGTTGATACATCCCATTAGTCTGTTCAATGTTGCGCTTTCCTTAGCTAGCCCCTTAGCTAACATTTTGTGACATGTCAGCATGTTACAGATGAAGCATCCATGTTTTTTCCTCAGTAATTTCTTTACAGCACGAGACATCGAAATGATTATAATGGGATGGCAAGTTTACCTTTTTTGCTTTAAATTCGTATAATTGGGTAAGTTCTTGAAAAACACTTAAGCTATGTTACATAAATTACTCTTAAACCAATATGAAGATCTGGAACGGTACCTTCCTACTACAATAGTAGCACTCAGACACTTAAGGCACCCAAATAAGTAGCAGAATCTCCTTCAGCTAACCCTGACACTAACATCAACAAAGCCCTCAAAGTTTTTGAATTTGAAATTGAATTAAAAGACTAAGTGACATTGTTTGATGCAGCATCAACAAAATCTTTGCATCTCAACAGAAACCTCTTTTTAAACAACATACGGTAATAATTAGTTTATTTTTTGGCAAGTCATTCAATAACTAAACAGGCTTAAAGCAGGGCTTACACTGTACAGTTTTTATTTTTTCAATCTTTGCTACAGCTACAGTGTGAGTTCAAAGCTCATGACGTACGTGCTCACACTGTACGTCCGAAAACCAGGTCGGACTCAGCTCTGCAGTGAGATGGCGCTACCCGGACTCGTCTATCCGGAAGCCATACAGTACAAGTAAAAGAAGAATATGAAACTCACTAGAGTGAAACATGCTGCCTTGGCAATTTGTGCAATTTTGTGTGCTGAAAAAGGAAAAGGCAACAACGTATTTGGACAAAGACATGGCTGAGCAAACATGGCTACTACGGTCTGTCAATTTTAGAGAAAGAACTCCATTCCACTCGTACCCTCTGCTATGCTTCTGTTTTCATCTGAGAGGAACAAAAAGAAAAATCCTTGTTTGCGAGTGCATCATAAGGTGGTCATTTGCCCATAACCACCAGTGTTGCCAACTCCTCTGTAAGGAAAGTAGCTATTGGCTGTGCTAAAAGTAGCTAGAAGTAGCTAAATGACGTCATCGTCTAATTTGCATAATCTGCCACAGGAAGTGATGTGCATGTTATTGATGCTGTGGGACAAATAATGTCGTTACAGAAAGACAAAAAGTGAGTAAAAACTCACTTTACTAAACAATATATAAAGCTACTTTTTTCTGTCCATAAATGTTTATTTATTTTTTTAATTTATATATTTTAATTATTGTGATCAATTTGCGCCGTCAATCCCGGCGCATGCGCGCTTCATTTGCAGTCTGGACGCTGAGGGTAAACATTCTCCGGCTCTGACTGCAGCGCTGAGAGGGACTCCTGTGGGAGCGGGAGAATGGGGTTGGGATGGGGGAGGCGCCCCACGGCAGCAGCTGCCGCTGGAGGACAAGAGTGGGAACGATACATGCGTTCACGTAAGAGTCTCCACAAGCCGCCAGTGACACCGTAAAAAGACGTCAGATTTGTCGCTAGTCGCTTTTTTGAAAAATAGGGGTCTGAAAAGTCGCTAAATATAGCGACAAAGTCGCTGAGTGGGCAACACTGATAACCACATTACGACGGCAGACTGAATTTCAAACATGTTTAATTTTCTCCAGACCTTACGATTCCTGAGCAGGAGGTGGTCATGAGACGCTGATCAGGATCACGATCAGGCTGAAAATCAGACCCACTGAAAAATTCTGACACAACTGGAGAATCAAACCGAAAAGGTCCAAAAATTGTACAGTGTATGCCCGGCTTAACAACAACTATCAAAGTAGCAGCAATGGTACTTGTACCACCAGTCAAAAATCTTGTTTGAAGAACATCTTTAAGCTAGTAGAGCAGATTATTTCAACCAGCTGCAATACATAGAGACCGAGAAGAAGGGAAAGCAGAAAGTATAATACTTTATGACAAACAGAATTCCATAGCTGAAAAAAAACACATAAAAGCTTTCTTTGTGTTGCATGAAATGGTTCATATGCACCTGCCTTTAATATCCAATAAAGACAAGCTGTACTCAGATACCGTGGCAGGGAGCAGCAGAAAGAAATCAGAAAATAGGCACAGTATAAAGAAGGACTTACCGACTAGAGATGAGTCACCTGAAATGAAAGAAAAGACAGGAAAAAAATGGGATTAGTCCAAAGGGTATAGCAAAACATTGTTCACACCTGTTCATCAAAGGAAAGTCACAACTAAATGAGATATAATAACAGAGTGAGAAAAAGGAAAGTCAGAATGCAATTAACATTTTATGTCTGCGAGAGAGAGCAGTTTCACACATAAAGCTGAAACACTGAGCTGCTAATTGAGATGGTTGAGGAGAAAACAACTGCTGATCGTGTTCTGAAGGCAGCAGTCATATTTTTCATATAAGATAAGACTTAAAGGTCAGAAGAAATTCTTTCAGGCAACAACTCTCCTCTCTTCACATTTGACATTCATCCACGTAAAAAAAAAAGTCATTATGAAAGCCAGGCATCATATCGAGCGTGAACGTCTTAATGTACATATACATTCTATAAAACAGACTGGAAATAGCTACAAGATTAAGCAAAAGAATAAGAGAAGGTAACAAACTGAGATATTTAAAGTTGAGAACATAATGATAAATGATATTAATTCTTTGTAAATTCAGACATTAGGTCATCCAGGTCATAGTCATTCCAAAAAAGAAAAACAATCCACTGGACTTTGTTTCTTCCTGGATGGGAAGCAGAATGTCTTCAAACTTGGGAACAATGTCCAGTTGATTGTTTTTAACTTTTTTTGGAGTTTAATACATAGATATTCTTTAATATAATACACTTTATGTGGCAAATAAGTCACTAGTTGGTGACCAGTTTAACATACAATCACTTTTTTTCTCTTTCTGCGTTTTTTATCACTTCCTGCTTTCCTGCGCTTATTTATTTTGGACTCCTTTTACCAGCTCATTGGCTCATAAGCCCATTTACACTACCCTGTGAAAACCAATCCGTGCCGAACTTGGATCAGTTAATCATGAAGAGCTTGGTGACTTACCACCATTTACACGCCTTGTTGGCCAGATTCCTCGCCTCCTAGTGATCATCTATGCTACTACTGCTTTCTAGAGGTAAAAAAAAAGTAAACGAACCTGGCGGCGCCCGTAACATTCAGGAAGTTATGTTTGGTTATAATTGTGATATTTTGTTGTTTGTGGAGAGTCAGGCGAAGAAGGCAGCCTTTGGTGAATTTACGTAACAGGGTTGGCTTTTGGGAATTCCAAACATCAAATGATAGTCTAATCATGGCTTATAGACGCAGGAAACAATGACGGATGTTGAGGTTCATCACACCGCTAAGCTGAATCATCACTGGAAATCATGTGGCACGGTAGGAAAGCTAATATTTTAATGAACGTCTTAAGGTTTTAGTTGATTACGGAGGCTGACTGTAAGGTGTGGTCTGCTCATACGCTCTTTGTTATCTGAGAACCGAGCCAGAACTGAACCGCGCCAACTCCTACTATGAACTAGTACCAATTTAGCATGGTTAAGTTGTGTATGGCGTGGTCCGGTTCGGTTGTGCGTGCCATTTAAACACAGTAGTTATTAGGGATGAACGATATAATCGGCCCCCTATCGGTATCGGCCTTAAAACTGAATATCGGACATCGGCCACCCCACCGATATTTAACCCGATATTTGATCAGCTTCTGAGTTTCTAAAGTCTAAAAAAAAAAAAAAATACTACTTCTTCTTCTTCCTCAAAAACTTCTTTTTTACAGACTTAAAAACTTCTAAAGACGAGGGAAGAAATATTGATACATTAAAATATCATAATATCTTCATATGCTGATATATTGCCATTTAAAAACACCATATCAATCTCTTTTAATAATGAAATATTGCTATATGTCATCGTTATGCTACGAAATCCCCCGAAAATTCACAAAATTTTGCCATATTTTTATATGTTGATATATTGACGCGGTATGGATCTATTTTACTAACAAAATATCACAAGAATTTGCAAAATATCACAAGAGTTTGTAACACAACGATGAAATTTCACGAGATTTTGCAAGTAAAATAGATCGATACCGCGTATTTAAAAATGTCAATGTCAGGAGCAAGCAGGGAAGTGAGTCAGGGTGTTTGAGACAAGGAGGCAGAGATACTGGATTGGACACCAGAAAAAAACTAGATAGCTGTTCAAACCTATCTCATCCATCATGTCTCTTCAGCTCTCCCTGGTCACTGTCAGCCACCATAAGAGAAATAAAGTTGTGCAAAGCACAATACCAGCCTTTATGTAATATAATGTCATGGCAGCCGTGCACAGATACAAAGCTGTGGCAGCATGTTCACAGCCCAGGTCACGGGGCTGGGGTAATCATGTTTTATTGAGGACGTATTCTGGAGGACTGACAGGACCCTGAGGAAATGCTATAAAATCTCTAGTGGGCCCTTTAGGATAGTAAATAACAAGAGCTGGATCCCAGCAGAACTGTATTACTCATGGAGGCGTTTCTTGAAGAAAATATACCAGCCAAGGCCGGTGGGCTCCAGCGTACCGGGAAGCTCTGGGGATGTTGAGGCTTTACTGTTCCAAGCCAAAAACTCCTTATAGAGCATACTTTTCTGTGTAACCATCGGGCGATTCAAAAAAAAAAAGAATGAAAGGTCTGGCCAAACCCCTCTTTTTGATTGCAGGAAGAAGCAGTGATCTCTGTCTGCTGCTTTACATTCCTACCAGACTCCGCACACATTTCCCTTAATGCTCAGTAATGATTTTTTTTTTTTTATGTTTAGAAAAGGATTTGTGGAAATAGCTTGACAAACACGCAAGGCAGAAAGTAATAAGGACACTCTGAGGGCAAATCACTCCAGAAATACACCTGAAGGTCTAGCCTGTGGGGAAAAAAATTTCAAAAAAGTACTACTGAAATAAGACAGTCTGAATACATTATTATATTCTCTTAATTACGGTATTAACAGTACAAACAACATAAGCCCTTTCAAAGAAAACTTGCTAAAAAGAGCTAATCTTTAAACATGGCTTAAGTTCTAGGTTTGTTTATATATATAATTCCTGATAACTACATTCTATGTGCACTATTTAATGGCATAAGTATATTTGTTTTAGTTTTGTAATTAAGGAAGAAGTTCCAGTTCGTCAAATTAAAATATAGTAACGATAGATCGCTAACTACAAATTAGAGCATAATTCGTATATATTCCCAAACACTAAGACCATTTAATTAAATAACTAAAAACTATAGGTACTTCAACATACCAAAAAAAAAAAAAATTCTCATCTCATCTAATATTTATATCATACAGAGAAGCTTAAAAGGTTAATCACAACTTCAAAACAAGTTGTGACATGTGCTAATAAGTTGTTAGAAGTAAAGAACAAACATTTCATACAAGCCATGTATCATACATGGCTTGTATGGCTGGTTATCCCTGTTCCAAAAGTCCAAAACAATAACAAAATATGTGGGCAGAAACTGCACATATGCTGGACGCTGATAGGTAATTAAACGTTCATTTCCACATATTTTGCTCCTATGAATTTAATAATAATATAGTGCATGCTCTCCTCAAGCTCTGAGGAATTCGGGGTGGAGCGAGACACAGTGTATTCTCATTATCAGTTCGTACGAAATCGTACGAAAAGTTATGAACAGTATTTCGTATGTTTTTGACGTTTTTTCGTCATACTTTAACATCTTGCCTCGGGACAAGATATCAGTGCGCATGCGCATCTTACGCACCATTCAATAACATACAATTTAACATACAATTAACCCTAACATACAAAACAGCAAGCAACCTAGTGAGAGACATCATGAAGTAATTATTGCACTGTCGAAAGCTCGTCCGTCCCAGTTTTACGTCCGTCCGCTGATCTGCTTTTTTCCTCTGGCTGGCTGCGCATGCGCACTGATATGTTTTTTCGAGGAAAAACATCAAAAACCCACGAAATACTGTGCATAACTTTTCGTACGATTTCATACGAACTGATAATGAGAATATGTTGCGAGACGGGAGGAACAGCGGAGGCTGTAGGCTTTGCTTTGTGCAGGTGGGGTGAAGCTGGATGGAGCAGAGGATGAGGGATTTTGGGGAAAAAGTTGAGGGGAGAGGTTTTCACTGCAGGCAAGGAGGTGAGAAGGAGGTGTGTGTGAAGCTGATTGGTTGAGAGGCTGTAATGTGGGCGGTAGTTTGACATGCCTTGAACACAAACTAACAGAAGACTGAGGCTGCTGCTGCTTTAATGCAGTGTCTCTAAGGAAAAATTGCTTGGTAAAGACAAAATCTAAAAGTGATTTGCACATTATATGCAGGAACAAAGGCTTTATATGTCAGTTAGAAGCGTATCTAATCTAAAGAAGGTCACATCACTTAAACACCAGCATCAGACTGGCAGCTAGTTGCCCACATGTTGCTTTCTACTCCCTTTGCTATACTAAATTCATATGCATTGTTTACTGTATGTTTTTCCTGAAATAGTCTTAGCAAGTTACTTTGATTGAACTGTAATAGACTTACTAACTCAGATATTTTTTGGGGGAGAAATAACAAATATAACTAGTTACTTTCATAAAGTAACCTTATATAATTTGTTGCATGTTTTCATCTTGATAAACTTTCTGCTAAATATAGAACAGGTAGATTTTATCAAGTAAGCATAGGCCTTATTTTGATGTTTTGGATGAACTTGTATCTATAGGGCCTTTCTAACAAAATATTAAAGACGTATGCTGTTTTGATAATTTTAGAGCTAAGTTATTCCCCGTTAATAAATAATTATAACTGAGAACGAGAATACATTTTGCTGCCATTTTAGTGACAGAATGAATCTAACTGATTCAGGTTTTAATTTATTGGAATTTCAATTAAACACATGATTAAATGCTGTAACGTCTGTCTATTTAATGTGTACATACAGTACAACCTGTATGAGTGTGGGCGAGTATGTTTGAAAGTTATTGAATTTGAAGGACATCTTAGTTTGAAAAACCCATTGTTAGTTGGAAGACCAATATAAAGCATGAGCTCAGCATATTCACAAATGAAAACTGAGGTTGTTTATTCAACTCTGTATTTCTAATACATTATGAAAAATG